AATATATAAACACCAGCAGAGTAAGATGGAAGCAACAAAAGTATTGTAGGAATAGGTAATCCTCTGACTTGTTTGTGAAATGATCAACTACTGCCACGGTGTTAAAGGACCTAAAATGAGGCTGCTGAAATGCGAGGCTGCTGCTCTGGACTAAAGCCCTCTACTTCCCCAAACATTTGTAGTCAAAGATTCTTTTATACTTTTAAACTCAAGTTTTGGAATTAAGGCTGGAAGAGCTCTCTCGGCTACTCTTTGTAGTGACTCGCCTAATTTAAAAGGAAACATCATGAATCTTGGAGCTTCATTTTTGTATGGATACTGTAGGTATTAAAATACCCTTAGAATGATGACACAGTTACCCAGTACTAAAACTTGAGAGTACCCTAAACTTAAATTTTTTGCATCTCTTATGTGGAGTGTAGGCTTTTTAGGCTTTAGGATATCTACTAACATAGTAGGATTAAAAAAAAAAAAAAAAAGTTGTACATGAATTATACATTGTATTTATTACTGGCTGTTCCTCTCTTCAGCACAACCTTTTACTAACTTGACTATTGGAAAGTATATTTTTCTGCAAGCAGGCAGCTAATCTCAGTGATATTGCTCTAGAAATCAAATATTAAATCAAAGAAAGAGAACCGTCTACACCTGCCTTTAAATGTCAATTTTTGGAAACCTGGATTAAAATCACTTTAATAAATCAGTCTTGGTTTCTCTAGGCTAGAAGGCTTCTCGAAAACATAGTTCAGATGGGGATCTATTTGTTTCCCTGTGTCTTTCTGAAGTTGCAAGCATGTTTCACCTGCCATTTCAGAACATCAAATAAAAGAAATTCATGATTTTTGGAACAAATTGTCAAAGACCAGAAGGTTGCTTGAAAGGGTGTGGGAGAGGAGGACCACCAGCAACAAAAACAAATTCCCAGACTACATGGAAGAGGAAAGTATGTTGCCCTTATACCCTTTTCCCCAGCCTGAAACGCAGCTGCAAGTTTCTCACCTAATTGTAGCTTTATTCTGATTATGTCAGTGCTCTTTTTGACAGGACTACATTTGACTTTTAGCATAATGTGATTTAGCAGGGTGATCATTCTATAGATCAAAATGACTGTAACGTTTCCAGTACTGCTAAGAAACTAATACTGCCCCCTTCTTTCTCTCTCCTTTTTAACCACAAAACACTCTCTATTGGTTTTCTACGTGGTAAAATTTTCCCTTGAGTTTTTGAAAGGCATGTGTCAGAACATACACGCGCCCTGGCACAGCGTGCTGTATAGCAGGCACTGGAAGCATGTCAGGACAGGGACATTAACTCTTGGCTCAGCACCCACTGTTGTTGCACAGCTGACTGGCTTCCAAAGCACTGCAAGAGCAGCACCCTTCAGCAAAAGCAGTTTAGTCTGTTATGTCTCCGCAGCTGAGATACAGCTCACAACTCTGCTTACCTCTTTTCTGAACAGATATAGGAGAGCTGGATGTGAAATAAAGTGAGGAGAATTATGAGGCACGTGGAGACTACACAGATGAGGACTGAGATTGACTGTGGAAAATTACAGTTGAATAGTGGTTCTTAGTTCTCTCCCTCCCCCCCATCATATACCCCCTTGTACAGTGGCTAACAAATTGGGATGATATTCCTGAAGCATTTACTTTAGGAGTTAAAGCATGTGGAAAATGGTGATCTGGCTGACACAGTCTACTTGCATTTCCAAGAGGCTTTTGGCAAAGTTTTGTATTGATTTTTTAAGGGAAATTAAGCAGGTAGCAGATAAGAAAGATCATGGCATGGAGACACGTTTAAAAGTTAGGACAAAGAGGGCAACAGCAAATGGTCAGCACTCAGAACAGAATGAGGTTACAAATGCAGGGATCTGAGCTGTTGAAAATTATCTGTAAAAGCGTATGAGCATTGAGGTTGAAAAAGTTTGTTGATGATATAGATTACTCAGAGGAGGTGGGACAAGGACAGCAGCTTGGGAAGAGTTCTAGGAAAATGGTTGAGTGACTGGACAATGAGACAGGAAGTTAAATTCAAGTTGTGTAAAGGGGTGCACATGAGGAAAAAAAAAATTACCCTAAACTGATGTATAAAATAATGTCCCCTGAGCTGACCATTACCACTGATGGCCAAGATCTAGGGTTACAACAGATGAAAACATTAGCTGAAGCAAATCATATGATAGAGCTTATTAGGAAAGGAGCAGAGAAAGTCATACAAATCCAAGAGTCGCAGAGTTGACTCTGTGTGCGCTTCTGGTCCCCTCTTCTCAGTAATGGGATAGTGAGACTGGAGGAGTTCAGAGAAGAGCAACGAGGGCGACCAAAGGCCAATGTCTTCTCTTGTAAGAACAACTGAGCAGGACAGGACTCAGTGACCTGGGAAAGAGATTATTTAGGAGGGGAGGTGATGCACATGTACAAAACTCCAAGCACTGTGTAAGAGAATGGATGGGACTTATCATTTACTGTTGACTGGGAGGAATCAAATGACACTACTGGGAACTACGTGTTTCACCCTTCTGGGGATCCCTCCCCACTCCAATGCTTCATGCAAGGAAAAAGGTGACCCACTGAACTTTGCCAAAAAATATTGCCTGCTTCAGGTTGGCATGAATTCAAGAGAAGACTGAATAAAATTCAAAGCAGAGATCCATTTGGCTTGGAAAATATAGAGAAAACAAATATAGGTTAGTGTCGTGGTTTGAGCCTGGTCAGCAGCCAAACACCACGCAGCCACTCTCTCCCCCTTCTCTCTCGGCAATGAGAAGGGACAGATGAGCCAGGCTTGGGATTTGAGATAGGACTGGGAGGGGCAGATCACCCATTATGGTCACGAGCAAAAGGCAGACTCGTTAGGAGAAGAAAAAAACCCCCATACATTTATTACGGGCACTAACAACACTTAACAGAGTAGGACAGTGAGAAGCATCGCCACATCTTGAGAACACCTTCCCCCCACCCCTCCCTCCTTCCCGGGCTCAGCTCTGCTCCCAATATCTCTACCTCCTCCCCCAGTGGCGCAGGGGCAGGGAATGGGGGGTGCAGTCAGCGCTGCCTCTTCTTCCATCTTCAGTGGGGGGAGCTTCTGGAACTTCTTCCTCCTGCTCCATCGCGGTCCCTCTCTCACAGGAGACAGTCCTCCACAAACTTTCTCCAATGTGAGTCCCTTGTACTGGCTGCAGCATTTCCTTACATTGCTCCCGTATGGGTCACCAACTTTCTCCAACTGGAGTTCCTCCCACAGGCTGCAGCCCTTCCCGAGCTGCTCTTGCGTGGGACACCCCCCCCATGCTGCAATCCTCCCAGTGCTGAACTACAACAGCGGGGCTACCTTTTCCCACAAGACCGCGGCCTTCTTTGGGCACATCATCTTGATCAACCAGGCAAAAAACACAGGCCATAAATCAGTGTCTGCTCCACCATAGATCTTCATGGGTGGCAGGGGGGGCCGCCCTGCCGTCTCACCACAGGATACAGGGGGGTCTCTGCTCCGGCACAACTCCCGCCTTCTTTCCTCCTCTGTTCCTCCACTGACCTTGGTGTTCATACAGCTGCCACAACTCCTCCTCGCAAATCTGACTCCTCCTCACCACGCCCCTTCTTAAATACATTATCGCAGAGGCGCAGCTGGTTGGCTCAGTTTTGGTGCAGAGGTGGAGCTGACTTGGAGCTGGGGGAGCTTCGAGAAGCTTCTCACAGGGGGCCACCCTTATAGACCCCTCCCCTGCTACCAAAAAACCCCACCACTCACTCAAACCCAGGACATTCCACCCCTCACCTCTGCGAATCACATATTTAAGAGCTATCATGAGATCCAACATTCACTACAGAAGACAGTATACACATCAACATCAGAACAAAGAGAAAACAAAACCGAACTTAAACAGGAAAAAAAAAAAACCTTCCCTACACCAAAATAGAAAATAACATTGACAAAATACTGAGACACAATGCACAAAATCCACCCCTAGTCCCCTTGCCACATCAGGAAAAAATACTTCCCCACAGTATCAACTACAGAGAGTCTAAAGATCATTCCAACCCAGGACAGTCAAATAATCCCTGAAACTAAATATAGTTGGAGTCCAGGACAGCATTCAGGGGAAGTGCTTGCTCTTGTTGGTCTATAGCCACTGTGGAAAAAAAAACTCGCGGTTGGAAGATCCTTGTTCTGATCTAGTACAGACACTCTTGTATACTTGCATTACAAATATCCAGTCTAATACAGGCACACCATGTGTGTGGGAGTTGGCATGCGTCTGCCAAATCGCGTCAAGAAGTCTATCTTCATCATATAGGTCAGTCTGAGATTCTTCATTTAACATTTAAACCCACTAAGCTGTGTGACTGATCCAATAACATCCAGTAACATTTGGTTTGACAGTTGCAACTTCTGCTTTCATATCTATTTCCTTCTTTTTTGAATAGTCTGGTAACTGAACACAGAGAACGTAAGGATGATTCCTCTCCTGTACAGTTTTAATTTGGATTTGCATTTGTCCTTCAACCTCTCCTCAGGTAACTTTTTTTTTTTTTTCCTTAGTCATTTAGGTAAGAATCTGCCTTCCCCACAACTTATGTGCATAACATTTCCCATTTAATTCCCTTTCACTTTCTTTTTCCTATACAAGAGTTGTTGAGCCAAAGCAAATTCCTTGTGTAACCTAAAAACTGACTCATAGGCACTGAAGCAGACATCCGCGTCAGCTCAGGGCAGCAGAGCTTCCAGAGGTCTGTCTCTGCTAGAGAGGGGCCTTCCCTTCATATGGTGACAAACAGGAACATGTGACTCTTCCCCTGCGGTAGCAATTCCCAGTCTGGCGTATCAGCTTACACTGCCACTCCAGAATCTGGGCTCAGCATGTTTATTATCCAAATAGCCCTTAAAGAAAGACAAGGGTGGGGCATGACAAGACTGCTACAAAGAATGTATGGCAGATGCATGCCCTGTGTGCAGGGGCCTAAGTGTCATTTGACAGTGACTCAGAAGACCATTTCTTATTCAGGACACATTCTTTTAATATCAAAATACAAAGCCAGCTGTTAGGTAGGCTGATCAAAGCAGGAAATTGTGTAGCTAAGCAAGAAACCCACCCTTTGACATATGCTCAAAAAGGGTTAACAGCTCTCAAACACAAAAATAATCCTGCTAAAGCTGAAGGTAAAAATCACGGACGTTAAGAGCCAGACAGACATTTTGTCCCACTAGATCCTGGCTTGTAGACAGACATTGTTCCTGCAGGTTTTCAGGCAGGCATTCTTCCTCACTGGAGATCTCCAAGGAAGCCCACCTACGCTGATGCCGGAGGCGATGCACCCAGCCCTCCAGACCCAAACAGCAATACTGACTGGTGCGAAAGGGCAGGGAACACACAGGATTCCTTCTTGTCTTAGGGTAACAAAAATAGAGAATTCCCTTTGATTTTAAGAAATGACATACTTTACAAATGGGATCTACATTCTATAAAGAAAGGCAAGACATGCACATACTGCTATACAATATTTGTATCTGTTTCTTTCCTTTTCTGGTATCTGTCCTAACTTTAATATTGCTTCGTAAACACGTGGAAAAGCCTAAGGCTGTCCACAGGGCTTTCTAGCTGTCTAAGTCACTGCAACTGTACATCCTATTGCGTTATTCATGATCTGGGTTTATAGCTCAAAGAGATGAGTATAGAGCTCTCATTTAAAAGAACAGGATTGTCCATAACAAGGTTGAGTATGGACAGCATATTCCCTGGCAAATAATAAAAAAAAAAGTGGCAGCTGGTACAAAGAGTGATAAAATAAATTTGGCAAGGTACTTTACTGTTTCATAAACAACAGTGGTATAATCTGCAATTAAATACTACTTGTGTTATCAACCACTTGTAGGCAGGATGTCACTGTTTATATAAGCAAGGATAAAATTATTCACAAAGAGTTTTGCACCCATCATTGAAGAGAATTCCTTGGGAATCAATGAAGGTAAATGCTATATTGCCGGTTAAGCTTCTAGCTGTAGTACTCAAGATACTTATAATATGTTTGAATTAGGAGATTAGCATTCAGATATTGAGATAGAGCACCAAAAAGAGGAGAGAAAAAAAATAAGCTTCTCTTTGTAGTCTTGTACTTGAACATTACTTGAAATACCACTCAGGAGAGCAGTTTATGGGTTCTTCCTTCCAAAGAGTCTTCAGACGCTGGGCCCAGGCAATCAGCATCTCCTTCCTCTTCTCCTCAGAGACATACTCTGGACTGAAGCAGATGTGAGGTGCAAGGACTTTGACACCACAAAAGTGCATGATTCCATGCTGGAGTCAAAGCAAAGAAAGAAATGCCTCAGGAGATAGTCTTTCAATTCAAGCATGTGGAGGATTCAAATCTGAAACTATTTCTCTGACCCAATATAAGGCAGATTTTCTAAACCTGTGCATTTATCAGGAGAAGGGAAATAAATTGCAAAACTTCATTACCTATCTTGGCAGTCTCTATTGAATGCTAGGCATTAAGCAGAATGACATACAATATACTGAAAAAGAAGGTCAACTTCATTTATTCTGCTCTGTGGAATCTATTTTTAAGTGCTATTAAACCCACAGAACTGTTCTGTTCGGCTGCTGTATGCTATTACATTTGCAAGGATCAGAGACAGCCTGAAGTTCATTGTACTGTCTGAATATCCACAGATTGTTCTTGAAATGAAGCATATTTCTCATCTACTTATAAGTACTTTTTTAACATTTTGCCTCTGGCTTAGCCAGATGATCCTGCATGAAGGCTAGTGCCTTTCCAATCAGCTCAACTGGCCATTTTCCCTCTGTGCATTTCTGAATTCACAGTTGTGTTTCATGTCCTTTGTCATGTTGACTTGCAAGCTCTGCAGCTAGACAGCCTCGCAAGGGCAGACAGCTAGTAATTGCAATGGGTAGGAGACCAAAGAATTTAAGCACATCTGTTGTATTACATCAAGAAGTAGCTGACACAGTTTGCCTTGTCACCTAAATTTCTCAAAGTGTGTTTGCTATGTCTGATAAAAGGGTATCAATAAGAAAAGGCATGCCAACTTTGGTATGCTGATCATTAATGCCAGGATAATGTGTGACTCGCCTCCTGCCCCATATTCTACATGAATCAGGGAGCTATGGGGAAAAGAAATCCTGTACGTTAGGGCTAAAGGAAATCCTATAACACCAGAGAAACTTAAATGGCTGACAGTGTAAACTTTCTCCAGATTCCAATCTGGAAGAAGGGGCAAAAAGCAATTTTAAAACTCTGTACGCTTTTAAAGTAGTATCAGGAATTTAGGGCCCAATTTATAACCTGCAGATGCTTGGAACTGACAACTTAATTCTTTCTTCTTATATTATATTTACTATAAAATAATAATACAACTGTTAAAAATAACTGGAATAATAAAAATGAAGGCAAAACCCAAGTAAATATTCACATCTTATACCTGCATGGGCCACAGGAGATAGCGAATATCACCACTGATACCTCCTTTTGCATACATCTCTTGGCTTCCTCCAGTGGTGAAAGAAAACAGGGCTAATTTGTTCTAGAATTAAGAAAGCAGCACTTGAGTTAGGCATGTTTAAAGAACAGTGGCTGAATAGTTCAAGAGGTATTCAGGGGAACCTGGACAGCAGAAATTTCTAGAGGAGGTGGTGCCCTCTTCTCTCCCAGACCTTATGTGTAGTGGCAGCCCCGAGGCAAAGATTGACACATATAACTAGACAGTGGACTCTGTGTCAGGGCTTTGGGCAGAGGCAGGTTAAAAACAAAAGGAATTACAGTTTGACCCTTGTTCTCCCCTACGTAATGTTTGGAAAACTGTGGCTGGAAGGCACCCTGCTACAGAGAATATTCCTGTCTTTCCTGAATGCAGAGATCGAATGCTAAGTGCCCCTTCAAACTTGGCCTTGCTTGTCACCTGCCAAGGAATAATTTCAGAACAAGCCATTCCTCAGGTGTTCTAAATCTCTGTGTTTCTTCTGCTCCTGTAACTATGTTATTAGCCATGGGCTTGTGCTCAGCTTCTATCCTCTCATTTTTAGCTTCCATAATTGAAAGAACATTTTTTCCAGTGCATTATCTGAATTGCCTTGAGCCTGCACTCAGCATGCAGCTGTGATCATTGGAGATTACTCCTATTCATCTCAGCGAGGTGGCCATTTCTGAAATTTAAACAAACTGAAATGTTTGGAATTGTTAAAATCAGAAATTACAGAGATTAATATGCAGCAAACATAAATATGAAACTAATATTGATGATTTCTGGGTGCTGCAGTCGTTATCAAATATGATCTATCAGACAGTGGACCAAAATTTTCCAGGGATATTCCCAGTGCTGTGGAGAATTAAAAATTTAGGAATTGTCATAGAGAGATACTGACCTTGCTTAATTCATAAGCTACAGAGAGGAAAAGGTTGAAAGGAGATAGCTGGGGGAGAGGCGCATGCACTGGGTATTTCAGGTTTATGATTAAGTTTAATTCCAGACTTTGACACCTAATCCCAGAACAGGATGTTGTCACCTACTCGAGTATGTCACTCATTAACGATTTGTGCACTCCTATGTTGGCAGGAAGAATGACAGACTATAGTTTTAGCAAATGGATCGATTTAAACTGTTTGCAAACTGTATGCCATCCCAGTGCACTCTGATACACCTACCAAATTATAAAGCCTGTTTCGTAGACCAACTAAAAATCTCTAGGAGACTGCTTAAACCTTTAGGAACCGCTGCATTATCCATATTGTACTACCTCTCAGACAGTTTTAAGCAGCCAGACAGTTTCTCAACATGTTAACAAAGCATTATTTCAGGAGGGCATAAAGTGAATGCTTTAAACAAATATTATGGAAAAGAAAGACCAAAACCCTCAAGAGCATTGCACAAATCTTGATCTTAATAAAAGAATGTCAAAAACATACCTTGAGCAAACCAGAATCATAACAGTTTGGAAAGTCGTGAGCAAATCCTTGGACCAAGACCCTGTCCATCCAGCCCTTCATGATTGCTGGCATGCTGAACCAATACAAGGGAAACTAGGTAAAAAGTAAAATTTGTTAGCACAGAATGCCTGAGCCATCCCTAGACCTGGTCTACTGGCCAAATCCTATTCTCTTAATCTGTTCAGATTTTGTACATGGCTTCTTCCAGCTATCTGTCAGGAGAGGCAGTAACTATGCTTAGCAAAAATAACCAAAGTGCTTTCTGTTTGTAATAGCCTCAGGTACATAGCTGAGCACCTACAGCACACGGTGAATATACAGGTTTCCACACAAATTAAAGTTGTAATATGATAAAGCAGGGAGGGGCCATTTAATTCAAATTTAAGACTGTACTGAATTGCGTCTCCTGCTGCTGAAATGCAAAAGGAACATATGATATAACAGAGAATGTGGCCAAAATGCACACAGAGCCTTATTACCAGGACTGACATCTGGTGATCAGCTCTGATCTGACAGTCTGCTGACAAATGCCATCTTAAGATAAATTTGCTTTCACACCCTGATGACATGATGACCCTGAATCACTTCAGTGAGAAGAAAACCTTTCTTTAATAGTAGGACCCTCTGCCTCTAGATCCTCCAGTTAGCCCGTGGGCCTACAGCCTAAAGCTATCATGTCTCATTTGCATTATCTTGAATGCTTTATGGACTCCTATTCTATGATGCATCACTATCCCTAAACCTTTGTATACACTGCAGTACAGAAGAAGAAATTCTGTAAAAGCTTATCCACATGTGGCTTAATTTAAGACAGAAACTGTGGAAACTGGGCAATCACCATTATCTTTGGAAGTGGTGAGTTTAGCCTGCAGTTAATTATATATTACTTTATGGTGTCTTTGAGAGGCTTTTTTTCTTTATCAGAACATAACCAACTTCATAGCATTCTACAGACAGAAAATAGAAAGCAACTGCTTCCTTTAGGAGATGTTTTACTATACTTATCTCAGAAGCAGTAGTGTAAAAATGAAGACTTAGGGTGAAACGCTTAATTGAGATATGGTCACAACCTAAATTTAATCTAGAATAGGACAGTGGAATATATATAGGCTATGCCTAAGGCCAGTGGTCACACAGGCGCACAAAGAAATATGGGCCTAGTATTGTCTTATACAGTACTTCTGGGACTTGTGGACACCGAGGACAGAGCTGGTACAGTGGGGAGCAGAGATGGGGTGTAATGATCCATTAGCAAGTCCAGATAGTGATTCTGCAACTCAGCAATAAATGAGGACAGTCTGGTTGGGAAAGTCTAAATTCCCTGAGCCCACTGGCTGCTCCCAGCTGCTTGCCCAGAAAACAAGCCTTGCCCTGCTGTCTGCCAGCCTGCCTGATCACCGTGGTCACGTACGTCTTTGTGCATCCACATATAAAGTTTGGCCGAGTGTTGGTGAATTACTGGATTTGCTGTTGTTTCAACCTGGACAATTGTGCTGTTGAATTACTGGATTTGCTGTTGTAATGACCCAGTTAATTGTTTTACTGATTTGTATTTGCTACTGTACCATTACTTAAAGGTAAAATGTTTGTCCCTAAAGCTGTTGGTCTGGTGACTGTTACTATATTCCAATCCTGTAACTTGATGGTGCCACCTTAAGGCCTTACACACATCTCTGTGTGTAGATCTGTGCTTTGAGTGAGCTCCAAGACAAAGGGGTAGTATCAGGTTGCCTAATAACATGGCATGGTTCTCATATTGAGAATCATAGTATTATTTTGCACTCAGTACTTTGTGGTCTGAGTCGCTCAGTGCAATCATTTTGGAGTTCAGGTAGCACAAGCACCAGTTTTCACAAAACCTATGTGATCAGACTACTTTTGAATGTCAACTTTGAAGTGAACACTGCTGTGAATTTTAATCAGGTATTTTAAGGTTCTAGTATCATATGCCTTTCTACACTCCAAAAACATCAGTGTGGAGCCATTATTTGTGTGAAAAAATCATACTGTGCTGGCATGAATAATGCTCACACATGACCCGGTATTTTTGATATTTTCTAAAATTCACATCATCCCACATCTGACACCTTGAAATTCTATGCTGGATACAGACTCTTTTATGTTGGTGGTAGAGCTACTACCTCTTTTTACTCTGGCTAGATTTAGTGTTCCTAATGAAATCTATAATCTCATTGTGGCTTTTATTTTGTACAACCCTGTATCTTACAACTGAAGTCTTTTTAAACAGGATTTAAAATAATGACCTGAAAAATCAGTAAGTCTGCTTCCTGCACCTTCTCCTGCTCTTCAATCAGATCACAGGACAAATCTCCTCTCTTGTAAGCTTCCCATGCCTCCACGCCATAATTGAACTCTTCTGAGTTGTGCAAGCAACCTGTGGGTAGAAGGGAACAGTCATTCCTTGCCCTGTTTCTAGCACTGTACCCAAGTAAGAAATAAATACATGTTGCAATCTGCAGTTCTAAATTGAGTTACTGCTTTCCATTTTTCCCCACTTCCTTTTTCTTTTTTTTTTTTTTTTTGGGTGGATATTCAGCATCATCACAGTTGATGGTAATTTGATTTTAATCTGGAGAGGAATGTAGTGTCTCAGAGTACTAAAACTTTCACCTTTCTGTAGCAGCATATGAGGTGCAATAAGAGGACCTATGCTTGGCTCTAGACTCTGGTGATGCAGGTGGATGATTTAAGAGAATTTTGCTAATTGCTCTGCCTCTGCTTTAGGGATTACTGAAACCACCACGCAGTCACAAGCACTGTATAGCTGCTTTTCAGCCTCTGTAACTGGGAAACTCAGCAGGGGCTGGGGAACCAGCACTGGCCAGCCTTGCTGACTCCACTACAGTTGGGTGAGCTGATTCAGGTATGTCTCAATCAGATACATATATTACTCTGCTGATTCAATGAGCAGATCATCAATCTCTAGCAGAAGAAAGAGGCAGTAGCCTCATAAACTGTACTCATAGTATGGTATGTGAAGGCATTTCTCACCCACAAGAAGTGGACTTCAGAGGCTGTGGACACATACTAATGCATTTTTCCCTTTCAATAATGTTACTATGAGTCAATGTTCGGTATTCAGGAGTAGACATTTAGAAATGGTTGTGTCTGGTCATGAATAAGTTTCTTCTTGTTTTTGACTGTACTTGCACTGGCCCTGTGCTATTTTTTTCTGATTCTTGTTTTAAAGAAAGAATTTCAGCTGTTGCAGATTGTGTTATGGCTGTGTGTTTCCTATTCTGGAAAAATACTGGGGCTAAATGCTAGTAATAGCATAGTGAAAATATCACATAAGCCTAACAAGAGCATCACTGTTTTTCTCAAGTCTTAACTGCATCATCTAGTCATTTTTAGTAATCATATAATATGCAGGTAGTTAGGAAGCGCCAAGACAACTCAAAAGCCCAAGCACTTAAGTGCCTGGAGCCAACTTGCAGAAAACATTCGTAATCTTGTTCGTTAAGAGAAGGTGGTTCCTCAAACATGCTTTCAGTCGATTGTAAATACTGTAAAAATAATAATTCTCCCTCATTCGCTGTAGTCTAAAGGCAAAACAGTTTTACAAACCAGCACTATATATATATTTATTTTTTCTGATTGAGCGGGCATTTCCAACTATCACATTTATTTAAATAAAGATGATACTTGTTGGGTTCCTACGCTGACGTATCTTAGGTCAAAGTTAATAGAAAATAAAAAGCTGGGTTTTGTTAGTTGAGGGATATTTGTACAAAATAATAGCAACTGTTTTTTGGAGTGCACCTAACAGTGTGGCTCTGGATTGTTAATGCAGCAGGTTAGACAAGGTTAAAGTTTGTCTCATCGTTATTGTTGAAAAAAGTGTCTCACCAACAATGTAATTTCTTGTTGCTCGTGGCTCGAACCGCATTGCATATAAATCAGACACTGTGACACTGCAGCCCTGCTTGCTCAATTCTTCCACAGCAACTGTCTTCAAAGATCCATTGAAGGACCTGGGCTCTTGATGTGCATAGACTATCAGGACATTTTTCCCTGGAGGCAGAAAGAAAACCTTTGAGTATACCTTTGAGTATAGGAGGTGGATATGAAAGAGTTTGTGGAACCAGTCTTTCATTTTTCTGTAGTCTGTCTTCCAAGCAGCAGAAAACTAGTGAAAACAGAATGACAGTGGCAGCATTTGACTCCTGCTCGGCAGCAATTGGTGACTCATGAGGAACTAATCAGTAAAAGCCCCTCACTCAGAAATTTTGTGCTACACTGGGCTTTTCTAGGTGGAACTCAGTGAACAGTGGGTGCATTGCCACAGCAGGTCACACTGCCCTAAATCAGCACAACCCAAGTCCCTCCTCTTGAGTCAGCATTTGTGTTCACTGAATTCCACTGTGTTCCCCCACCCCCAACAACAGGGGAAAAAAAAAAAAAAAAAAAAAAGCTGTCTGCTGGTTTGCTACAGCACAAGTGCGAGGGGTGCGGTGGGCTGGGATCAAAGCAGTGCCAGTTTAGATTCTCTCAAACTGCTGTGGAAACAAGCTCTAAGAGCTCAGCGCATTTTTCTACTGCCATGTGGGATCCCCTCATCTTCCATGACAGTGCTGCACAAGTGACAACGTTGGGGTAGATGTTTAAGGTGCCACTATACCACTTCAGCATCATCACAGCAACTTCAGTAGAAAGAAACATGATTTCTTCTTAGATGTGGGAGTGAGCTGCCTAGTGTATCTTAAACTGCTGACAAAGTGGATTTAAGGTAAGGTGAGCGGCAAGATGGATACGTTGGGATGGGGTTTCTTAAACTGATGTAACAAGGTGTATCAGAGCTTACTTGTTCAAAATTTTACTGTATAAAGGCTGTTCAACATTAATATTTCTCTTAAAAAATCATCACTGAACACAAGGTGAAATACTTTTATGGGGCAGTGGTTATTTACACATAAACTCTGCCGAGAAGGAAATTTTCAGGGATTATTGAAAATTACTGGATCTGTAAAACACGCAGCTCTTGGTTCCTGACTGCCAACACAAAAACTTGAGCATCTCCCGAGTTCAGTTTCTCCAGGGGACGCAGAAGCTGTACGGCCCAGCGCACCACCAGGGTGCGGGGTAAGTTTAAGCTGTCAGAGATAATTAATAGAACGGGAGCTGAAGGCTTGAAGAAACAACACCTCATTTTAAACCTGAATTATAAGGGGTGATTATTTCTGCATAGCACCCATGAAAGGATAGCTTTGCCAAGAGACTATTAAAATTTGTGGTCAGATGCTATCGTAAATTTAAGGTGTGGATGAGCTATTTAAACCCCTGCTCAGTAACTTATTCTGGAACACTGAGGGCAGTTACCTCTTCGCTCTCCCTGCCAGCTCTCAGCAAACCGGCAGTTCAGTGGCTGGAGGCGACACAAGCTCACAGAGGCGGCAAAATCAACCCTGCTTCCATGTCAGCGGCGCCGAGGGCACTCGGATACCGTGCTCTGAGGGACTGGGGCTTTCCAAGGAATCCGACTGGAGCAGTCATTTGAAAAAATAACGCCTCGGTGTGCCAACTAGTCACCACGGATATGCCACATACGTGCCCAGGCCTGGCCCAAAAGGCATTTTTGTCAGTATTTCTTCTCACCTGCCATTTTCCAGAAGCGGTTAGCACCTTCTGTCTCGAGAACCTGATGCGGCCTGTGAACTCAAACGACAAATTGGCTGATGCGAGGAACACCAGGAAGCGCTGCACGGAAAACAGCCGCTTCGGTAGGAAACGGTGCCGTTCTGCGTGGAAGTGGACGGGCTGCCAGAGGAAAGCCTTGTGCGCGTCCACCCCCCCCCCGGCCCAGCGTCGCGCCGGGCCGCTGCACCGCGCCACCGCCCCCCCCCCCCCCCCCCCCCAGAAAGCAGAGCTGGGCGCCGCTCCCGTTTTCGGGGCCGCCTCCCTAAAACCGGCCTCAAAACGACGGCGCGACCTCCGCGGCCCGGGGTGTGTGTGTGTGTGTGTGCGCGGGGGGGTGTGGGTTTACCTACTGCCCGCGGCCCGGGGTGTGTGTGTGGGGTGGGTTTACCTGCTGTCCGCGGCCCGGGGTGTGTGTGTGGGGTGGGTTTACCTGCTGTCCGCGGCCCGGTGTACCCCGGCGGGGCGGGGCGGGGCGGGGAGCGGCCCGGCCCGGCCCCGGCGGTTGCGCCAGCGCGGGGCGGGCTCCGGCTCCCTCAGAGGCTTCGCGGCCGCTCGGTGCGCGTCAGCCGCCGCCGTGTCTGCGTGGGGGGAACCGTTACAAATCCACGCGGCGTATCGCGCGCGTGTGTGTGTGTGTGTACCGGGGCGGCCCGGCGGTGGGTAACCCGCCGTCCCCTCAGAGCGTTCGGGGCAGTCCTCGCCCATCGGCTGGGGTTTCCAAATGGCGAATCCGCGGCAGAAATCGAGTCACTGGGCCCAACGGCCTGGGAAATACACAGTTGAGCTGCCTTTATCCTCTTGCCGGGGGGTAAAGCAGAAAATCTCTGCAAACCTTGCACTGCGTTTTTCATCGACTGCCCTCCGTGCTGTCAGGGTCCAGGGGAGACCTGCAACCCTCAGCTCTCTTCCCTGGCTTCCCAGGGAGAAGGTGTCGCACAGGGTGCTGCGGGCGCTGGGGGCAGCCCCGTCTGGAGACGGGCAGCAGCAGCGCCGGTAAGCGGGGCTACAGCTTTCACTCACCGACATAGCTTGAGTATAAAACATGGGACCAAATTCCGCTCGGCTGCACTCTCCGGGTTATGTCGGAAGCAGCGTGGAAAAGCACTGGGCAGGGACTCCAAAAATTCGAATTGAAGTTTGCTTCCCCTCAGATAGGATGTCTTATTTTGGTCTTTTCATCCCTTCTGGTAACAAAAATAATGAGATATTCTGACAAAACACTCAGTGTTTAAATGGCTAAGGGCTGTTGGTATTAGTATACTGCTAGCAAGTAGAATTCACTTTTATGAAAACTGAGCAAAAACTAGGAAAGAAGCGGAAATGAATGTAGCCCAAAGACTTTGAGTGTTATTGTTGTTTTATTAGAGTTGCTTTTAACAGCTCATACAAATAACTTAGCCAAAGGCATGTGCTTTCCTTCATTCCCGCCTCCTCCCCCCCCCCCCCCCCCATGCATAAGGTCTGTTTACGGTAAGATGTGGTAAACTAAAAGAAAAATGCTAGTAGTTTATATACTGTACTTACATAATATTATCCGACACACTATTTAATATGATACCTCACAGAAACAGTAAAGAAAAAAAAAATCCACTGTTTCTGCTAACTTTTCTCCATTCCAGGCTTGCTGAGTATTAGAGTATTTCCAAGAGGCCTTACCCCTGTAACAGTCCCTTCGAACAGTGAAAGGACATCAAAGTATTGGCATTGCTTTAGGAAGCCCACTTCAAAGGTGCTGTAGTGGTGCAAATGTTATGATATAGGGGATTACAGTCAATAATAGAATAGAATAGAGTATTTCAGTTGGAAGGGACCTACAACGAACATTGAGTCCAACTGCCTGACTAATTCAGGGCTGACCAAAAGTTAAAGCATGTTGGTAAGGGCATTGTCTAAATGCCTCTTAAACACTGACAGGCTTGGGGCATTAACCATCTCTCTAGGAAGCCTGTTCCAGTCTTTGATCACCCTCTCGGTAAAGAAATGCTTCCTAATGTCTAGTCTAAACCTCTCCTGGCACAGCTTTGAACCATTCCCATGCATCCTGTCACTGGATACCAGGGAGAAGAGCTCAGCACCTCATTCTCCACTTCTCCTCAGGGAACTGCAGACAGCGATGAGGTTGCTGGTCAGCCTCCTTTTCTCCAAACTAGATAAGCCCAAAATCCTTAAGCCACTCCTAGTGGGACATGCCTTCTAGCCCTTTCACCAGCTTTGTTGCCCTCCTCTGGACACATTCAAGGACTTTAACATCCTTCTTAAATTGTGGGGCCCAGAACAGTCAACCTCTTTCTTCTTGCTCTACCTCAAACCCATGTAACTGCTCTCCACTTACGTAGGCAAGCAGGTGGGATTCCCCTCTCCTAATTTCAGCCATGTAAAAGTTAGGCCATCTAGTCTAGAACTGAGAGGGTTAGTCACTCTAGGATGCAATTCCTTTCACTTGCCTTTGATGCTAGTGGAAGGAGAGCTACCACTTGGCTTACAACAGACATCTGGCGGCATCTGGGTGGCTATGGGAAGATGAATGCTGTCCTCCACTATCAGGACATTTGGGCTCCCACAGCCTTTTGAGCCATAGGTATTGTCAAGGGTATGTAGAAGACTCAAGTTTTCCAAGCATATCAAACCTATATAATGTCAAAGGGTAAGAAAATAAGGGATATTTTCATATTTCACTACCATGTTGAGGCTAATTACTGTCTGGCACTGGGTGCTGTAAGAACAGCATTATAAAATACCTGAGGTAGAATAGTTTAGGATGAGTCAGAAGCTATAAACTAGAAAGTCCTCTGCTGGGAAGTATTTAGAGTGAACCTAGTGCTTATTGCTGTCATGGTGCCAGCAAAATTTATAGAGCAAACTACAGTAGAAGCAGGAGGAAGACTGAAAAACTGCAGCTAACAAAGTGGTTGCAGGGAGAAGGAACTAGCTAGAGCCATGAGCAGGAGTGGCACCAAAAGATGCACTTTGAAATGAAATGAGTTTTCCAGGTCAAAACTGTGATATACTAGCACAGTGATACAGGGACATCTGTAGTGCTACTTCATACTTCATTCTGCCTTGTGAACCTTTGTTCCCTAGACATGTCTGAATAATATTTCCTACACTAGCATCCCATAAGAAAAAGTTGTTTGTCAATTGGTGGTAAAAAAATCAAAAAAAGGGTCAAAACAAGAGAATCTAAATACCTAAAACCAACAAATTGCTTTTATTTACATTCTCTTCTAATATCTTGCAACCATTGAACTAAAAGTTTTGAGTGGATTATAGGAGGAAGATAATAAAATCTTGCATTTCAAATACATCTAAGAGAGAGGAAATAACTAATACATTTTATTGCCTCCAAATTATGTCCATTTATAGCCTGACTTTAAAATCTGCATGCTAAGAATATGTTACTGGTTATTACAATAAGACTCTCTCAAGTTCAGGAACTAAACTACTCTGAAATCAGGCCTGTTGCTTCAAGCCAACAATTAATTGAGTCATCAACACAATCAAAAACATTATAGATGCCACTGTGAAATGCAAACACATACAGCACTTAGGTTGAGTCCTTCAGCAGCTGAACTAGATTAGCATTTTGTTCTCTTTTTTTCCCCCACTTTATCAGATAATGCAGCACACAATTTGTAATCCTTAGTATCTGTGCTATAAATTAATGTGAAAATGGTAATATCATATTTGTGTGAGTGTGCATTTTCTTCATACAAATTACAAAACTTGGGTTAGGGTGCAAGGTATGGTCATCTATCTTAGAAAATAAATTAATCAGAATATAACTGTGCAGGAGCTATTTTAGCTTTCCTTATGTCTTTTCCTAGGATTAATACGAAGTTTGTTGTACACATTGTCTGTCTCTGGACGTTTTAAAATACCATGTATCCAGAGGATATCTCTTGTGCCCTCTAGTGCCCAGTGCAAGGGCTTGTCTTTATAGCTGAAGTGAAGCCTTCACCAAGGATGAGTTTTTAATCTTTAATGCAAGTTCTGTCCTAGCAGGAATGTTTTAAGAACCTTTGACACCAATGATAATAAACAGCAAGGAAAAATGATGCTAACAAATCGTTAGTGTAAGAGAAATCCTATTTGATACTGGGTTTTTTGTGACTATTGCAGAGAACATGGCCACTGGGAGAGCAGTTCTAACCAGCAAGCACTGTGGCTCTGCACTGAAAAAGAAAGAAAAAAAGAATAATTGAGAAGTAATGTCCAACAGAGAATATTTTTGCATCGGTTTGTACCCCAGTATGTGTCACAATAACACTAGTTATTGCTAGGCTTCTTTTGTCAGGTAATAAAGATGACCGTCGCCGTCACATCAGTCTCTCTCCTTAGAGCAGAAGAGTTGATGGGCTTGTGCAACAGGAAGGAAGGAAGCAGGAGGACTGCGTGACTAACAGCCTCACTGTGACCTGTTTTTGTTCTCAGTCTCTCTGTCTGGTAGTGAGTAACAGAAATTGAAAATGGTAACCTCTGGGGTTAACAAGTCTATAGTATCTCTAAATGAAAAGCAAACCATCAACAGGATAGTGTCCCAGGAAACAATTCTTATCAGTTGTTTGGCTTGTTTTTAAACCTCGTGATGTTAAATACTTAACACTACTAACATATATAAACGAAATATGTATTTAAAGCTTTTATCTATTTGAAACTTAATTACAGCCTCTGCTAGCAGATTTTTGCCAGGAAGTAAGGGGACTATTTCATTCAAGTGCAAATTCTGGGATACATAAATTTGTTACTTGTAAATTAGGAATCTCTTCTGTACTTTTTGATTGATAAGTCTGGCCTAAGATACTCTTTTGAACACAGGCCGGAATTTCAAATCTGACTATAGATTCAGTTTTCGTGTGTAAAAGCACAGCAGATCTAGAATTTGCCTTTGCATCTGAATAATGAGAATCTTTGCCAAGCGTGACTTTGTTTGCCTCAAAAGGCAATAGGGTGTGTCTGCACTCTTCCTCAAATTCTTGTAGAATTGTTCATGTAAATATAGAGTGGAATGAATATTAATGTGTACTTAAAGAGGTCATAAGCAATTTGATTTCAGGGGAAGGCACTTTATGGAGTATTTGAACTGATAGTGGCAATGTGTTAGCTGTGATATTAAAAAGCATGAATACATCTGAGCATAGTTTTCTGAGAATGTACTTTCAAATCTGCTGATATTCTACAGCTCTACCTGTTTGATTTTGAACACTAGCTTCAAACAGAGTTTTTAAAGGTTTGGGTGGGTTTGTTGTTTGGGTTTTGTTGTTTTGTGGTTTTGTTTTGTGTTTTTTTGTTTTGTTTTTGTGTTTTTTTTTTGTTTGTTTGTTTTTGCTTTTTTTTTTTTTTTTCCGGGGGAGAGGTGGAGGAAGGAGAAAGTATATTTTCTATGGCAATAATTCTTCCCTTAGATGAAACAAAAACTTGGGAGACCTGTTTCTATAGTCATTGTGCTTCAAAGTTACTTTCTATCCCAGATGTAGGATTTACATTTGTCTATTATGGAGAAAAGGTCACACATCATGTTGACACTCAAGTTTTCATATTCAAGTTGATGCTTCCTTATATTTGAAAAGTGAGGCTGGAAGGAGCCCAGCTGCTGGCTGAAGTCTGTTGTGGTGGGGGAT